TGGAGGGACTGAAGAGAAGACGGAGCTACAGGGTCGGTCAACTGGGGAAGGGGGAGGTTGGGGGTCTTCTTAAAGGGATAGTACTGTGTTTTGTTTTTGTTTTTTAAGTGTGGTTGAAAAAGATGCTGACAAGTAGTGGATGCTAGGACCAGGGATCAGCCTGAGACAGAACCTTAGACACACTCTCAGCAATAATGTGGCTGACAGTTAGTTTGGCGTACAAAAAAGGAGCATAAAAGTATATGACACCTTAAAAAAAAGCTTTAACACTGACTCTGAAAATTGCTGATTTTGTCCCACCAAAGTAGAACATTTCAACCAGCGGCCACGGTGATAACACTCTCTGCTGCCTCCATCAACAAGCACAAATAGGATTTCTTTTTCCATTTGCTTGTGAATACATATTGTTTTTGACTTACCTCCTTGACAACACTAACCACCTGAGGCAGAAGCACCACAACAGCTTCTAATTTCAGCATCTACTACAGCAAATAATTGTCTTTCATTTCTATGGACTGTGGTGCAGGAAAAAGTTTTCAGTCAGAAAACAGATTTAATCTGAGAATATTAAAGACAAATATGGATTTTAATAGACGCGAGGTTCTTCATCTCAGGCTGTACCAAAAACACACTTTGTATTTCAGTTCTTTCAACAACCACACTTTAAAAAACATGGACCTTCAGCCCCTACTGAGGGATTAGGAAAGGCTTGGTTGTGGAAGATGCATGAAAGAGTGAGGTCTCCATACGTGTTTTTCAGCATTTAACAAGGGCCAGGGTTATGGTGCGGTGTCAGAGGTAGGGGGCGCTGGGCAGGCACCTGCGGGTGGAGCTGTCATTCTAGGAGTGATGGAGATAAGGATGTGGGTGAAACGGGGCAGTTACCTGTGTGGTTCTCCATCGTGATGGGATGGTGAGAGACAGGGGGAGCAGCAGGAGGGGGAGCAGAGGTAGCTGAGGGTGAGGCCGTGGCAGAACACACCCCCACAGCTGTGCCTGCCACCAGAGGCTCGACCACAGACTCATTGGACTCCTCTGGAACTGTACCTCCGGCCTCTGGGAACGACAACAATGGGGGTATTTTTTTTAGGAGTTTTGCTGAATTATAAAATCAACAACAGAGCAGGAAACACCTGACTGCTGTCGTTTCCTGTTTTGGATTTGATGATTTCGGTGGTGATTCTGTTTTCTCGATTGTAAAAACAAAGTGTATCTCCACAAAAAAGAAAAGGAAAACTTTAAGGACTGTGCTTCAATCCTTTTCTGGTAGAAAATCAGTTTTTAGTAGTAAGCACAAAAATTTGGTAAAGACAGGAAATGGTTAACAAAAATACAAAAAGCCATAGTAATAGTCAGGAGGAGGTAGACAAAAACATTTTTTAAAAATTAGTCAACAAAGGGCTAAAATTTAATCCAAAATTAGCTGCAAGTTACACTAACAAAAGTTTATAGTGCCCAAAAATGTGCCAAACATAGATAGAAATTAACAAAAGAGAACAGAGTAACTAAACTAACTGTTAACTAACTTAAAGTTAGCATAGAAATAAGCTAAAAACTCTTGAAAAGACAGCTAAAGATAAAGGATGTAGCTATGTATATATAGCTAAATATTAGCCTAAAAAGATGAGCTGACATTCAATAAAGATTAAAAGTAGCCAAATTAGTCCAAATAAACATTATCACATAGATAACTTAAAGTTAGAGTTCAAGGCTGCAGATTGCAGATGGAGTTACAGCAGCAGTTGTACACAGACACTGCAGTGTGTCTGTGGAGTGTGTAAAACATCATCAGTGTATCCTCTGTTTAGAGTTCATTTCACAGCCCAGTGTCTGCTCACTTACCTGGAACTATAACGTGAATGACTTCTCCGTCTGGAGGCTCCGTTTTAATCCTTTTCACAGAAATACAATCTCCTGAAGGACCTGTGGAGACGGAGCAGATCATTTCTGCCTGAGCTGTTGTCAAGACTCTGAGGCCGTGAGTTAACGGGACTGAGGTCAGGGTGTGTTTGAAATGAGCTTTGCAACAGGTTTTGATTTTCCCCCAAGTGTTTTTTCTTTTTCTTTTTTTTTTGAAATACAAAAAAACAAAGAGAACATTTAAAAGTAACTGGTTACAAGAGGCAACCAAACAGGTTGTGACCTGGTGTAAAAGACATTCCAGAATTTCATGAAAACTGAAGTCGAAAAATGGTCGTTATTTGACATTTTACACTTACATTATGCGCTTACATTTTTTCTGTTTAGAGTTTGTGTGAGGCTCATACCTGCTTCACAGTCGGCCAGTGGACTCACACACGCACTTGTTGATCTGAAGAATAAAATAAAAGCAAGTGTGAGAGATAACACAGTGACAGTATTAAATAACACAACTTGGTTAGTGCAGCTAAAGACTAACGATATTTGTGCGTTGAAAAAAACAGTGGCTTTCTCTCTTTTTTTCTATCTGACAATATATGGATGGATTTGTCCTAGTGCTATTTTTTTTAACTCACCAGATGTAGTGAGTTCCACCACAACAATTAAGCTATTAGCAGCCGGTGACACAACAGCAGTGTAAAAGATAACTGTAACGCAGCATATTCAAACAGCTTCATTTGCTCTGAGTAATGTTGGCCATGAACGTAATATCACTTGGCCGTTCGCCAAACGTCTCATATTTTCCTCCAGCAGACGTTCTCAACAGCTTCAGGCCGTCTGACCTGCTGCTGAGAGGATTGCTGAGCAGCTCGGCGGCAGTGGCGGGCAGGAGGCTGAGACCGTCTGGGAAAGCGTCTTCGGGCGTGGAGACCAGGTCATGTTTTCCTTCCTCCCTTGCCATCTTCCCTGCAGCTTTTATGAAGGAAGACACATTTAGAACAGATTTAAAAATGTGCAAACAATCGACTTAAGTCTGGACAAAATGGCTTTTAATCCTCTTTGCAAAAATGTATCGATTGTCAGACCTTATTTATAATATTCTTTTATAAATAATGAAGGAAAAAAGCCATCATATGCTGTAAGTTTAGAATCATGGTTCATGTGTATGTTGAGAAAATGTTGCATTGTAGTGATAACAAAGTGACAGAGATTCTTACCAGTGAAAATCCTCTCATCGAACATTCTGCAACATATCGGGGAAAAAAAAAAGAGAGGGAAAAGTAGGTCATTAGTCACAGAGTTCAAGGAGAGTTCAGACTCCGAGGGTAGAAAGAACGACATGGACTCATGTACGATACATGAAGAAGAACTCATGGTTAGCAGCCGGTTAGGCCCATTAACATGTTCTTTAAACAGTCACACAATCAGGTCACTGAGCCTCTGCTTTGTCATCAGTGAATTCCTCGCTGTTATGATAACGACCCAGGCGGTGATCATGAGTAATGTCTTCGTAAAACTACCTCTTAAATTAACTTTTAATTATTGCTACGTGCTAAAGTTTTGATGGCTTCTTAAATGGTAAAAATGAGCGACTGCCGTGTAAATCCATCATTAATTTATAATCTTTATAGGGCAGATGACCTCGTTTAACATTTAGGGATGTACAACTTTGACAAACTCAAGTCGAGACGCGAACTACTCCTCATACATGCAGTCTATATGGGACACAATGGGAGTCCAAGTATTCCTACTGCTTCTGTTCTGAGGTCTAATATTTTTGAACAAAAAATAAATGCAAAAGAAGAAGTTGGCTCAACCTAAGGCACAGCTTATTAGCTCGAAACTCCACATGAAGACAGCCTTGGAAGATCTGTTTGTAGGTCAGGACAATCCAAATAATGAAGCTTCTAGGAGCCACTGACAAAACATGACACAAAGTCGGCCATTTGTAATTTCTTAACTATAAACAATAACATCTCTGAGATGATTGATCACTGCAGCATAGGTTTGGTAAGTGGCGTTCCCTGGAGATGCATGACCATAATTAGGTACAGCTATGAACATTAAGCAGCGGTGGCCCGCTGCTACTTGCCAATCGCTGGGGCAGATATACAATAATAGTCCATAACTGTACCATCATTTCAACACCTCGTAAAGATTAAGTGATAAAGTCATGGGATATCTTTGCTCTAGTCATTTTGGTGTTGGCGACGCCCAGCATTTCCTCATCAATGTACTCTGTGTGGCAAACAAAATTAATGACCTACAATTACAGACGGTAACAATGTCACGCAATGTCGTGTTTGAAAAATTCTCGTGGCTTAACAGCAGCGTCACATCATCAGCATAATGTCTAATTAACCCATAGGACAGATGACAAAATGGCAAGGACTGAAGCTTAAGAGAACATCATGTGGGTGGGGGGTGCAGGGTGACCTGCCCCCCACAGCTAAAGAAAAATTCTATGTATCTCTCTGTATATCTATGGCATCAGCCATGAGCCATTGGCTACACTCTCTCAGTGCCATGTAGCGGTGTAAGAATACAGTGCTGTCGTCCTCCTGCCCTCATTGTCATTCATCATTTATCACAGGTTATTTCAGACAGCCCTGTGTCCCAAATCTTCCAAGGAAATTCCATGGTAATTCCAGGCCTAGTGGGATACACACACTACTGTTTGGAGAGTTCTGGGACTGCTCCCACTTGGATGGACCCAGAAAGAAATCCCTAGTTGTCCTGATTAGGCACAGATTACACTTCCCCGTTACCAGAGCCAGGAACTGGCACGACCTCGAGGCAAAGTGCCCTTAAAAAGATTTGAAATTTATCATTAATGTTTGAACGACAGAAGCTTTGGATGGCACTTCAACAAATGTTTTAGAACTTTTAGAGCAGCGGTTCCACCTGAACTTTCCACAGTCTCCAGACATTCTCTCACACACCCTGAGGTGAAAGCTTATTCCCTTCATTGGTATCCATAATCTCATTCTTAAAGTCACCAATCAGAGCTAATGACTGTTGGTGAAGGTCAGAACATGGCAGCACTGATAATCAAAGGTTTGGCCTTTTGGCTCTTTAAGCCAAGAAGGTTAGAAATGAAACGGAAAATCTGCCGATGTCACACCTGGAAAATCCAGCTTCATTTCTAAATCCCTGAGAACAAGCTCAACTTAAGTCTGCTTTTCCTTAGGCCACAGATCATTACCATTCTTTGGAACGATGTACACCGTGTCGTAGCAAAGAAAAACCATCCATGGTGAATCAACAAGACTTCAACAGTTTCAAGAGAGACTTAAGCCAGACACAGCACTGTGTTATGTTTGTAAGGCTGTTAGATTCAACTTTAAATGCTGGTCTACATTTAGGCTAAAAGGCTATTTGGATATAACAGTTGTTTTTGATCAAAATGATCAGAGTCTGTCAACAAAGAAAGGAGAGGAAGCCAAAGAAACATCTGGAGGATCCCTGGGTGACAACGGGAACGCGGTGTAATTCCGAATTAATCGCATTTTCAATCTTTCCTAATTGTATTAGCTGTAATGAGCCGCCTGCAGGATTGGTTAAGAGACGTGTTATCTCCAACAAGGCGTAGAGGCTCATTTAAAGGAGCTTAAAAACAAAATGGATGCAGGAGCTGCCATTAGCGCAGCACGCAGTCAGTGACTTCTGGGATTTTTTTGATGGAAATGGTTTGAGCCTGGACAAAATGGCTTTTAATCCTCTTTGCAAAAATGTATCGATTGTCAGACCTTATTTATAATGTTCTTTTATAAATAATGAAGGAAAAAAGCCATCATATGCTGTAAGTTTAGAATCATGGTTCATGTGTATGTTGAGAAACAGGCAGTGGGGAACTGAAAGAGAGTATGTTCAGGACACAGATGGGAATCAGCTGCAGGAGCTGCTTTATATATATACTGTATATAAAAAATAATTTAGTCAATTGAAGTTTCAGAACCAATGCCTTTGCTGTAGTTTCACACAGCTGAAGGTAGATGGTGTTTAGGCAACACAATAGTTTTATCAAATATTTATATTCCTAAAGTTATTAGGACCAACTTTTAACTTTTAACACCTCCACCTAGGGGACAATCACTCAGTTATTAGGACCAACCTATAATGGCTAACACCTCCACCTAGGGGACAATCACTCACGTTGTTTTCCTGTCTTTCCTCTCTGTTTTTTCACACCAAAGTCAATAGAGATTTCATCAAACAAAATTCTAACACATCTTTTAAAAAACAAAACAAAAACAATGTCAGACAATAAGACAAGTAAACTAACTGATGGAGACAGCTGTAAATCAACAACTTCTGTTTGCCATGATTTCCAATCACAGAGTTTCTCCATGGACTCTGGGGGATTGAACCGTTAAAAACCCACAAAGTAACGCAAAGTCTCCATGTCTGGTTCTAAATAAAGAAAAGCAGTAAATCTCACTTTAAAGTCGTTTTTTTTACCGTTTCACTATGAAGCGAATTCCGTGGCGCTCATCTAGGATCCGTTTGAGCTTGGGAACGCCGTAAGTACAGGGCCTTTTGAAGGGGATCTGGTCGGGGATTCCAATGATCTCCACGGCCCCAGGGTCACAGGCTATTTTGCGGTAAGGAACAGGCACCATGTGATCCAGACCCAGGGCCTCAGCTGCAGAAGAGAAAAACAAGAAGGAAACAAAGATTTGAGGGAAAATTTTATTGAACACTTTTATTTTTAATTTAACGCTGGAACATTTAACGGGGTTTCCAGAGTGAGAGTGAGTCAGTGTGTGTGTGTGTGTGTGTGTGTGTGTGTGTGTGTGTGCACCCCTCACCATATCTGCTGTTGAATAAAATCTGCACACACTCTCTCAGCGTGTTGATATCTTCTGTTTCCCGAATGAATGAGTCCCATTTTTCTGTAGGACAAAATAAAAATAACCAAAGAAAACAGTGAGGGTTGTGTAGCTTAAAATATTCAAAACAGCTTTCCTCCACTGCACAGCTAAAGATCCTGAAATTAATCATCTCCATGCTTTCAAAGTCAACTTAGAAATTACTTGAATCTTCTTAAGAGATTAATGTTTGAGGCTGAGGAGCTTAGACCTCAATGGTTAAGAGTAAGTGACATCGCTGTTTCATCAGTAAACAAAGCTTAGCTACTGGAGGAGGATTAGAAACCATAAAAAGTAGAGAAAAAGTTTTTTTTTTTCAATTAAATAGTATTACAAGCACTAGCTAAACAATAACCAAGAATACAACTACAATACAGGTAAACACAAAAGCAGAAGTTGCTCAAATTTAGCATGAAAGGAGAACAATAATGGCCACCGTTACCAAAGGTTGGATAAAACCACAAACCTGTCCTAAAAGCTAAAAGTTAGCTAAAAGGGAAATGTATTACTGACAGTGAAAAAGCTAAACTTTAGAGACCAGAAATATAGATCAATTAGAGAAAGTATTTCGCTGAACAGAGGCATAAAAGTCATGCAGTTCATTTGCTGGAGTGAAAAAGAAAATCCACTAATCTTCTCATTTACCTGATTTTTCATGCACAATGGAGAAGAGCAGCCTCTTGGAGATGTGGACACCAGGAGGACTCTGACCCTGTTCACCACCAGGTAGTCTTGACATCTCATCTGTAAATTAAAAAAGAAAATGTTTTCAGTTTTACAGTCAATATAGTTCAATTCATTATTCTAAAACTTACATCAAAATCTGTGAGAGAGTTCCACGACAGTGTTAAGAATTTCAAAGGGTTTCCATTATATGTGTCATTTTAACTGTAAAATGTTTCACCTGATCAAATTTTTCAACCATGGAAATTTAACAATTTGAGAAAATGTCGAATATTTGTAGAATGCTACAAAGAAGGAGTTCTCGTGAAGTGATTTAAGGCTTAAATGTGATGATATTTTAATAAATAAATATTGTTTTTTGTTTTGTTTGTCTCTGAATACTGGATATGTTACGGCTGCGTCCAGAGCTTCTGTCTATGTTTGGCGGGTCCATCCAGCTGAATTAACACAATATCACACAGCCGTAACACATCCAGTGGAATATGGGAGTTACTCTCTTGTTTTTTTATAAAATGTTCAGACACAGAAGCCATGTTCCTGTCTCTCTGTCTGAGACCTACCACTGCTGCTGCACTCCTTGGCAGACAGGTTCTTGTCTGTCCCTGCAGTCCAGTTGGCCAGTCTGTCTATGCCCAGGTTGAGCAGTGACAGGGGTTTGAAGTCCAGCTTACTTTCAGGATGAGGTTTGGAGGACATGGGCATGCCATACAAGAAGTTTGACACCACGGAGGAGTTATTGTTGTTGTTGTTGCCACCGCTACTGCTGCTGCTATTGGAAGTGGCAGGGCTGGCTGACGTGGCCACCTGAGCCGTCGTCTTCACTGCTCCGTGGCTGCTTGGCGTCACGATGGCGGCGGTGGAAGCATTGTGATTGATGTCCGTGCCAGATTTGGCTTCACGAAACAAATCTTCTGCTGGCCTGAGCAGAGATTAAATTAAATCAGAACACACACACACAAAAAGGCTGCCTGATGTTTCCTCTGGAATTAGGCTGGAATGCTGGATGTTTTTGGAAAGGGCACTAATTCATCACAGCTTGACACAAAGAGCTGCCCTAGTGCCAATTCTTAACACCTGCCAAAGATCTCCTGGCTTCTACGGCAAATGTTGCAGCTAAGGTTTTTTCATTCTCATTCCTTACATTAAACAGTCCATAGAGAAAAATCATTTATATATTCTTCTTTGTTTGTGTTTGTGGTTGCAACTTTAGATACATTTCAGCAATTCTGGTAATTTCACATTTAGCATATTTAGGGTAACTGCTACAATTTTTTTGAATGAAGTCCCAAAGATAAGAAAAGTATAGCCTTTGGCTGCGTTCTAGCTATTTTTCTTACATTTAGGGTCAATATTTAGATATACTGAGCCAATGTGTAGAGACATTTATGCTATATCTTGCAGGCTAGCTGTGTTAGCACACATAAGCACACGCATATGCTTTTACAGCCAGTATATGAAACCTGCCTAAAACAATCTAAACCAGGAATAGTTAATGGAAAAAAACAACAGTTTTGGGCTTCTAATAACTGCCAGCACAGACAGATACATTTGGAATTGATATGCTTGTAATGAGGCATGTGTTTAAGGTCTAATCTAAACCAGGCTAGAACACCAAGCTAATGTCAAAGACAACAGTTTAGTCTCCTGTGGAGTTACTCAGCACCAACAGCGTTCGCCAGACCTGACATTTCCTTTTAAACATTCTATTAATAAAATCCATCATCGGCCTCTGCAAATAATACAGTTCAAAACTCAGCCCAGTGTTGTGATGAGGAAAACATGTGTGGAAATACTGACATGAAAAGAGAATGTTTTTTTTTTCAAAAGAAATAAAACCTTTTGTTTATTTCCTGACAATAATCCACATTCTGTCTGCGACCATTAAACACCAGGACATCACAGCGCACAAGAGACACAAGAGACACAAGAGACAGGAACTAACAGCCAAACCTAAGTATTTTTCTCTGGAAAACATTAGAGGTTGGAGTCAACTGGCAGAAAACATCACGATGGAGTGAAATGCTGTGAAACATCTGGTTTCTATCACCAGCTACAAGCGTGTGAACAGAAGCCTCTCATTTCTAAACAGCAGGATTTTGTCCAGGAAGAGACTCACCGTTTTACACTAATCTGGATTCTATGGCTCTGCTCTAGAATCTTCATCAGAGTCTTGCTGTCGTACTCGGAGGGTTTCTTCAGGGAGACACCTTCGGGCAGGCCGTGGGCCACCACACAGCTGGGGTCCTTCTGGATCCAGTCATAAGGCACAGGGACCAGGCTGCTCTTTCCCAGGGCTTCACCTACATTAGCACACAAAACAGAGCAGAAGTCAAACATTGCTTTGTTTGTTTGTTTTCATTACAAACAGCTGTGGGTTTTTTGGTTGGTTTTTGGCTTATTTTTAGCTTTAACTAATTATTGCATGATTTGAATAATTTAAGCAAATTGTTGAAAATTATTTTTTTGTTTGATTCAGGTTACTTTTTTATAATAATAAATAGACAACCCTGCTCATTACGACACAGCTTTTACAGATAACTGTTCTGCCTTCTTACTGTAGAGCACCGTGAAGACTTCCTCCACCATCTTCCTCAGGACAAAGACGTTCGACTGGGCCTCTGGTGGAACTCTTGGTGTCCCATGTTCACCATCTTTACTCAGCTTGTTCAGATCTCCTTCCTGGTCTTTGGTATGGGTATTTTGTGTGGTGGTCAAAGTTTGCAAACTTGGCAGCCCTGGGTAAAAAAAAAAGGCATTTTAATGAATAGATGTGTTTCCTCTGGAATTAGGCTGGAATGCTGGATGTTTTTGGAAAGGGCACTAATTCATCACAGCTTGACACAAAGAGCTGCCCTAGTGCCAATTCTTAACACCTGCCAAAGATCTCCTGGCTTCTACGGCAAATGTTGCAGCTAAGGTTTTTTCATTCTCATTCCTTACATTAAACAGTCCATAGAGAAAAATCATTTATATATTCTTCTTTGTTTGTGTTTGTGGTTGCAACTTTAGATACATTTCAGCAATTCTGGTAATTTCACATTTAGCATATTTAGGGTAACTGCTACAATTTTTTTGAATGAAGTCCCAAAGATAAGAAAAGTATAGCCTTTGGCTGCGTTCTAGCTATTTTTCTTACATTTAGGGTCAATATTTAGATATACTGAGCCAATGTGTAGAGACATTTATGCTATATCTTGCAGGCTAGCTGTGTTAGCACACATAAGCACACGCATATGCTTTTACAGCCAGTATATGAAACCTGCCTAAAACAATCTAAACCAGGAATAGTTAATGGAAAAAAACAACAGTTTTGGGCTTCTAATAACTGCCAGCACAGACAGATACATTTGGAATTGATATGCTTGTAATGAGGCATGTGTTTAAGGTCTAATCTAAACCAGGCTAGAACACCAAGCTAATGTCAAAGACAACAGTTTAGTCTCCTGTGGAGTTACTCAGCACCAACAGCGTTCGCCAGACCTGACATTTCCTTTTAAACATTCTATTAATAAAATCCATCATCGGCCTCTGCAAATAATACAGTTCAAAACTCAGCCCAGTGTTGTGATGAGGAAAACATGTGTGGAAATACTGACATGAAAAGAGAATGTTTTTTTTTTACAAAAGAAATAAAACCTTTTGTTTATTTCCTGACAATAATCCACATTCTGTCTGCGACCATTAAACACCAGGACATCACAGCGCACAAGAGACACAAGAGACACAAGAGACAGGAACTAACAGCCAAACCTAAGTATTTTTCTCTGGAAAACATTAGAGGTTGGAGTCAACTGGCAGAAAACATCACGATGGAGTGAAATGCTGTGAAACATCTGGTTTCTATCACCAGCTACAAGCGTGTGAACAGAAGCCTCTCATTTCTAAACAGCAGGATTTTGTCCAGGAAGAGACTCACCGTTTTACACTAATCTGGATTCTATGGCTCTGCTCTAGAATCTTCATCAGAGTCTTGCTGTCGTACTCGGAGGGTTTCTTCAGGGAGACACCTTCGGGCAGGCCGTGGGCCACCACACAGCTGGGGTCCTTCTGGATCCAGTCATAAGGCACAGGGACCAGGCTGCTCTTTCCCAGGGCTTCACCTACATTAGCACACAAAACAGAGCAGAAGTCAAACATTGCTTTGTTTGTTTGTTTTCATTACAAACAGCTGTGGGTTTTTTGGTTGGTTTTTGGCTTATTTTTAGCTTTAACTAATTATTGCATGATTTGAATAATTTAAGCAAATTGTTGAAAATTATTTTTTTGTTTGATTCAGGTTACTTTTTTATAATAATAAATAGACAACCCTGCTCATTACGACACAGCTTTTACAGATAACTGTTCTGCCTTCTTACTGTAGAGCACCGTGAAGACTTCCTCCACCATCTTCCTCAGGACAAAGACGTTCGACTGGGCCTCTGGTGGAACTCTTGGTGTCCCATGTTCACCATCTTTACTCAGCTTGTTCAGATCTCCTTCCTGGTCTTTGGTATGGGTATTTTGTGTGGTGGTCAAAGTTTGCAAACTTGGCAGCCCTGGGTAAAAAAAAAAGGCATTTTAATGAATAGATGTGTTGCTATTCCTGAACAAGAAGTCAAACTTCCCAGGGAGAAAAGAAACTATTAGGCAGCTTGTACCACAGGCCTTCCTAATTATCGGAATTACTATCCACTCCAGAGGAATGATTCAGGCTGTATATGCTGAAGATTAAAAATTAAAGAGATTAAAAAGACCATCAGGGCAGGACAGAGGTTAGCATCTGTGAGGCAATGAGGGATCTGTATGAACGCCTAAGCATCACTGATGCCGGGGCTGGTCATAATATTTCAGAGAGACATATGAGTCTCTCATAGTTCATGCACCTCCTGGGATATTGTGACATTATGTCTAATTCCACGAGGGGCTTGAGCTGTGCAGCAGAATAATGTCAGGCCTCGTTTTGGCAAAACTGTACAAGTGCTTGTTAGAACTGTAGACAGAGAGCGTGGGATTTGACTGGCCTGTCTGCAGTCCAGATCTGTGTTTCTTAGAAAAAAAATCACTTAAAATAATATTAAAATGTAATATTGTCTAAACAAACAAAGGAACGGCGGTGCTGTTTTGGCAATTTTGTCCATAGTCACCTTGGAATAAAGAATAAAACATGCTGTTTTGGCAAACAGAAAATGAACAACGTTGTTCGTTTTGAAGAGTTTATTGGAGAATTTATTAAAAGTTGTTATCGAAGCTTTAACGAAGCTTAGAAACTGCATTTTCACAAAATCCCACATATTAATGCAAATGGAGCCAAAGTGATAAAATCCTATGTAAACTCATTTGCCCCGGGAGTGAACTCTGGAGAAGTGAAAATGTGGTTTCAGTGAACACCACTTTGAGATTGGCATTAATTCTGCTTACTCCTCAGTACTTAGCTTAGCAACACTCCCCCCAAAAAATACACAACACAAGATGATTGAGAGACTTGCTTCTAAAAGTAATGAAGCTGTCACATTTTGAAAAATAGTGCCACATAAAATTAATGACTTGTTTGTCTTTAATTTGTCTTTAATAAAATGAATGACTTGTTTGGAAGGTGCCTGGATGAGCGTAAGCGCCTGCTACAGTTGATGATTAAGTAGACAAGATAAAGCCACTTAGTTAAAATCGTCCTCATTTGTTACGGCTGAAGGACGACTACCTGCAACCACAGAAAAATGCTTTGTTTTTTTGTCCTTGATCTGATTCTTTACTGAGAAAAAAGCAAAGTGATGCTAGCTGCTCCCTGTAAAGGGCTGAGAGGAAAAACTAATTTCACCTTTCATACCCGGTCTGATAAAATTAAACCATGTAATAGAGGGGGGGAGGGGTCACTGCTACTTAATTTGATGGAACTAATGAGAAACTGCTGTGGAAACAGGGAGCAGCACTTGTTTTACTCCAGTACTGGAAAGGTAACAGGTGGTGCTAATGTCCCAACAATGAGTTCTTCAACATGACTCAGCTCACAGTCTGTTACCATTTGTCTGATAACTGGAAATGATGAAGATGTGCTGAGTGGGTTTAGTTAGGGTGAGAAGGTTATACTAAGAATGTGGGAAGTGGGGAGACGAGACATTTACACTTTACCACGTCACTGTTTTTTTTTGTTGAGACCTATTTGACCAACACTGTTTGTGTTAATGTGTTTATTGAAAATTGAAAGTGCTACATAGTTTAATTTTCAATTTTGTTTGTGTTAATGTGTTTATTGAAACATAGAAAAAGTGCTACATAGTTTAATTTTCAATTGAATTTTTTCACCTGGCTATGTTAACTACAGACTACAGTTTTTTTATATTATTTTTATGTTTTGTGTTAAGTAATTGTATATTTTCTAATGTGACATCAGTGTCAGTTTAAATACTTACTAGAACAAGTTGTTGCCTTGAACTGAAAATTCCTTCCGTTAATGAGAAGAAAATAAAATAAGCTGTTAACATTTTATTTCTAAACAACTAGAAGGTAATTGCAGATGAAAACATCTACTGTAAATACTGTCTGACTATGAAACAGCCTTGACTTAACGAGTGTTCTGTTTTTACAAAGCCATTAAATACCGAGTTAGACACATGAGACTGTTTCCAACGGAGACGTGAAAGCCAATTTGTTGATGTATTGTCTTATCAGATAATCTGATATGACGTGAACCATATGAGGCTTGAAATGCATTCACTGACTTGATAGCCTGATGCCAATGTAATGTGTTATATATGGAGGATTACACCATCCTAAAAGAATTTAGCAAAACTGAATCTCCTTACGGCAAAACTTGTAGAAGTCTGTTTGAATTTCTCTTCTGGAATTGAGGAACACTCTGCCTCTTTCTGTGCCGACGGCGATGACGCTGTCCTCGTGTACAGTGACGCACGCCACCTCTGCGTTGAGCTTTGACATCGCCATGCACTGGTAAATGACAAAAGAAAGAAATAATTGTATTGAAACCCGACAAAGACACAGTCTCATCAAGAAAACATTATGAAACCAGATAAAATCTGAATTTTCATTTTCTTGGCATTGACAAACAGCTACTTAATTTCATCCACAGATGTTATCACAATATGTTCCCATAAACACGAAGTATTCAGCGATTTCGAAACACAATGTGGCTGCTTGCTGATACGTTTCATTAGTTCAGTGCATTTAATCATCTTTTCACCACACTGAATCAAACATCCATGATCAAACATCCGGTCGAGACGTTGGGAACCTACCACAGAGTCCAGGGCAGACACCAGGCTGGTGAGGATCTCTTGTCTGGTTGACACCAGTGGTAGCGTTGGATCTCCCCGAGCGTTTGGCCGGATGCTGTCGCCTGGCAGCTTCCTCATCTGAGCCATGCCTCTGTGGAGAAACCAGCAAAAACGCCTCAGACAGGAAGCCAGGGTGGAATATCAACAAATCTTGTGATGTGTCCAAGCATGCATTTGAATCAGCTTCTTATAACGTCACTCAGATTGAGTTTATGTAAATATGAGCTAACATTTACTGTTGGCTTTCCAAGCATAAAAGTATCTTTCATTATTGATTTATCATGCATTAAATTAAAGCCACTTCCAAAACCTCAGGACATTATGTCCTAGTTTTCTCAAGAAACCAAAAATACTCAGTATACTTTCAAAATAATAATAGCTTTACACTAGCTAATCATAGGAAATTAATATCAGACGGTCATCCAAACTGCTCATGTGACAGCTTCAATGGAATGTAGAACTTTATTTTTATTTAGCAATTAGCAATTTTACACAAAGGACTTATAGATGATGACAATGATTGATTTTTATAGGTATCTGTACAATGTGTATTAAAGGGAATGATGCCACATTCTTTGTAATTAGCAAGTACATGTAAGTGGACTCTTGAGCACAGACTGTGTCACCAAAGCATTTGAAAAGGTGTATATGTTTGGTTGGGAGGATTTACTGAACAGAAAACATATTACACCCCCCAAATAAAATGGTACTCTGTGTAGCGGTTGTGCCTCTGTGCCTGCACAGAAGAGCCATAACTCTGGCACCCCAGCAGCAGTATAGGTAAAGGGCAACTGTGAGTGAACAGAGGGGAATCATCTGTGCTATTAATCAACATCTGCACAAATTGAGATTTGTGGCTGAAGACAGAACGAAGAAAATACTGCAATCCTCTGTAATTCATTATGCAGGAGAAAATATAAAGCCACAGATGAAATGTCAGCTGTCAGGACCTTTGGCTGCAAGACACAGATGGCATACTGAAAAAAAAATTATACAGGAGCAATAATAAAATGTCTGGTGAAACTTTTATTCCACAAGTCTATCTTGTGGAAGTTGATATACATATTTCAATGAAGAGCTAAAAAGCTGAACCAGCTTCTGGCAATAGGTGGAAGGTCAAAAGGTCACTTAAATTCATGAGCTTCATCCTCAATACTTGATTTCACTAAAAGTATTCCACAGCTAAGATTTCTCTGCTGGACAGAACTTTGACAATGTTCTAGTTAATGTGTAAGTGTAAATAATTAATTTATAGTTAATAGGACAACTCTGAGAAAAGGTGCATCAGAGCAGTCTGGGTAAATGGTAATAACAAACATGAAGAATACTGTGATATCAAGTACGTGGTGGTGTGTTGACACCGGGCTTCATCCTCAGAGGACAAAGAACATTAATAATTCCAAGGCTGAACATCCGTGAAATTGTTCCAGTGATGTTCCACAAACTTGACATTGTCCTTCCTTTGGCCACACTGCTAGATGGATGACAACTGGGTCTAATTAGAGCGCTCACATGATGTCACATGAAGCCATTTACGATTCTCTGCAGGACACAGGGAGCAGGAAGAGCAGCTGCTGGCCAAAGATGGCTGAGATAAGTCATTAACTTCCCACGAGGGCTGCGCTGATAGCATTAGCCTAACCCCAAACAAAAAGCTGGACGATGTAAATAACATTAAGGGAGCAAACAGACAGAATTGTACGAGAAAAGAAACGGCTGGTTAAAGCCAGCCACTATGTTCTCATGGCAACTGAAACCTGTCTCCTTGGAAACTAATCTCAGGGCATTTGAACAATGCAGTGGCGGCCTTTAATCTCTCCAGACACTGGGAACCATTATACTGGCCACTGGCGAACCCCAACCACTGACTCAATAGAGAGAGGACAGAGAGGGTGAGAGAGAAAGAGACAGACAGAGGCAGACAGAAAAAAAGGAAGGGAGGGTGGGTGTGGTGAGGTTCAGCTGCAACAGTCTGAACGTGCCAAGTCTACAGGCCATCTAAATCTGCCTTCCCTGGGGCCACCGAAAACATTAGACCCCTTCCTAAATTATTATGGCCTTAAAAATAGATGGCCTATTTCCCTCGCATACTTTTAAACAATAAAAAAGGCAGTAGCTAGAAAACAACACATGACACAATGAGATTATTATGGAGTTTAAACCAGAATTTCTGGATGTGCACAAGGACAAACAGGATCTGTTGACTGACAACAGCACATATTCAAACAGCTAATTAAACAAAGAGCTTTCCCTTCTCATTAAAAGTTGGCAATCTGGCAGTCAAGACTGCCTCTTCACGTCTAGTGGTAAAACTTTAGGGATAGTATTTTATGTTTTGCTGTTGGTAAGAAAGTAGAGAAGCTTAAACTGATACAAGAAACTGTTTTTCTTCTTCTGACATCAATCTGACAATTAATTACGAAACAATCCAATGATAGTGTTTTCAGCATATACCCCTGAACTACGACATCCACAGCAGTTTAAAAATAGGCAACTGAACTGCCTGTAATCCAAGATTATACCGAAGAAGCACAGACAGTACTGATACATCCCACAAAAGTGTCTGTGTATAATACTATAAATTACAGCTGTTACAAAGTTTACCACTAAAGAAATACAAAAAAAATATGGCCAGAGTGAACCTAAAATAGACTTCTGCTTTCTTCTGGAATAGAAATTATAAAAAAAAGAATACAGTTTGTATTAAAAAACAGAATATAGCTTACTTTAGTTGACAGTATATAATAATTGCTCTAATAAACAAGAAGACAAATTGTAAAAATGATGTGTATTTTAAATTAAATGCTATCACTCTCTTTACTAACAGAGGTATGGGTATTCGTTGCTTCTGTGTCTACAGGTGTGTGTGGATAGATCTATGCAGTGACACAGCAGCTGTTAGCTTAATCCAGTCCATCTGCAAAAGAAGACAGTAACATAACATTGTTCTGCTGATAGTGGAAGACATGGTTACGGAAAAGAGTTGTCATAAATTGACAGGTACCACAGTGAAGAATCAACACTGCTTTGAATGTCTTCAAAGATTTGGCATCAAGTTCCTGAGATGCAGAAATTCATTCAGTGTATTTTAAACTCAAGGGTTATTTTAAACAGTCAGTCTCTAAAAACTTGTGCTAAAGTTGAAAACAGCAGGTAAAAAGCCAACAACCATTTAGCTTCTTGCAAAAACAGTACAAACATTTTCGTACAAAGTGGAATTGATTTCTAACACAATTGACTGAATGTTTTTAACGATGTATACACCTACCATTGACAAGTGGAAATAAACAAGCTCAATGATTTTCTTCTCTTTACAACAATTATGTTGTAAGTAACCATTTAACACTGACCACTTCAGGGTTTTTTTTTTAAATCATGTGCAAACTAAAGCAGGGATGATGTGTTAACATACTCATTTTGGTGAGTCAGATGATGTAATGTATTCAGCAAACAACTTAATCCTGTTTACATCCAAAGCCTGAGGCAGTTTTTTTTTTTCTTTCAATGCAGCCACGTCAGATGGCTACATCTACCTTTCATCTTTGAAATATGCTTTCAGCATCAGTTTGCTTTATAACATTGCACATTTGGACCTAAAACTGGAGCCAAGACAATGAAAAGATAGCATGACAGCACATGATAAGTTGAAGCATGAGAGCAATAAATAAATCCACGGTGTAGTCATCCAAAGGAAATGAGCTATATGTCATGTGTGTAATTCTTCCTCGGTCTTGTGAATTCAATCACTCAAACAGTCAAAGCAGAGAGACTTTTATTCGTGTCAGCTGTTTGGTTTTTTTATTTGCAAAACTTGAGCGTCTGGTTCCCAAGCACTCACAGACAGCTGGGAGCAAAATGAAAATAATATATCCAACATTGTCTGGTTTCACACTCAAACTGTTTAACTTTGCAAAATTATGTTTGTACAGGTCTCCTTATAAGAGAACACAAGTTTGTGCTTGGTTTTTCAATGTGCTCCTTTGTGCTGTCAGAGTTTAATGCAGATTACTAAAATGTAAAGGGACTGAATAAAGTCACTATATTGTCAATGTTAAGGTTGGGTTTGAGAAGTGTCACTGGGGTGTATCTATGTTTTTAATCAGTGTCTCTTCAGAGCAGGCGCATCACCGGTATTAATGTATTATACTTTATACTATTCTACACTTTATTATATTTAATTATATTACTTTCCTTCTGTGTTTTGTGCTTGATAGTGGTCAAGCTATCGCCTCCAAGGCTGCTGCCACGTGTGATATTTCAGCGTGGAATCAATAGTCAAATCCAATGCAATCTAATCTAATTTGTGTAATCAAATTTATTTTACATCAGTCAATCAAGAATTGATGCAACAAACTCCATCATACGTTTTACAAAAGTGTTCCTTATTCCCTTCTTTCTTATTTTCACATTCTCAAAGATGTATATAAAATATAACAGTTGTATTTTGAAAAAACTCGACAACTATATTAGTTTTTTCCTGTATTTTTTCTACGAAAAACCTTAATAAATGTGTACCAATGCATTGTGTTTTCACAACTTTTAGCATCCTAATAATAAATGTGTACCAATGCATTTTGTTTTCACAACTTTTAGCATCCTAATAAAACAGTATTTATAATTCAGGCTACACGAGACTTTGACAGCTATAATGTCAAGACAAGTTTACTTCAGAATTATAACCAGGCTATAGTTTCCTTTTTAAAAAACTGTCAGAAACGATAGGCTAATATGTTTATTGTTTCAGTCGAGATTAAATGTGTTGCCAGTTAGTTCACCTTGTGGCTTTGTTGTCTTTAGCCTATGGTCATATAATAGAGGTAAATGAAGGTGAAATAAAAAAAACACATTCATAAATCAAAGACACATTCTAAAGATGAGTCCCACTATTAAATGGTCATATTTAATATTTTCCTTCTATTTTTTTCTTTTTCTCTTTCCATGGTTTGCGTTTCGTGCTAGTTAGCATTTTGCTAGTTAGCTTTGAACTGGCTAACTAGCAGATGTTACTATAATAACATTAGCTGTTAGCATCGTTAGCTGCGCTGCATTAGCACAACCACAGCTAAAATGCTAACTAGCACTTTTCTTTCATCTCCACCCCCAGTGCCGCCAGTCTACAAATTACCTTATAATCCCCCTTTTTACTCGTATCAGCAGCTACAGAAAAAACCTTCACCCTGATTAAAAACAAACACGTCTAGTAACAGACAGACGAACAAAGCACAATCTCACCTTAATTCGCGATTAAAATTAGCCTTGTTGCTGTTTGTCAATCCCGGAATAGTTTTTTTTATTCCCCGCTGCCTTAATCCATCACAAAAAACGCTCACGATTCCCCGTCCATAATATAGCGACGCGGCGTAATCCGGAACATCACAGCGCTCACTTTCGATGTTAGGTTTTAAATTATCTTTTAAATGTCCATTGCTTGTTTTGATATTCCTTCTTAGCCCAGTTTATTCCTCTTGTTTTTCGTCTCACCCCTTTAACAGAGCAGGGTGTCCCTTTCCCCTCTCTTTGTTCTGTAATCCAGTAAAATTGAAACTCATTCGCCTCCTGTTAATCCCAGCCCAACTCAACAACAGCATCTATTGGCTGCCATTTACATACGGGATTAACGGAAGAGCCACTATTTACATAGAGCAGCAGCATATTCCCACTGTGTTTGTGGTAATTTATGATTCCATGTGAATCGCGTTAATACAGTTGTGACAGTTCCCAGTGACAGTTTTATTTAGAGCAGTGTTTCACATTCACTGGGTCGGGGTCAACAGGTTGGTTGTTTCTTTTTTGAGTCAAAAAAAAAAAAAAGGTGAAACTTGGTACTCATGTACTACAAAATATCTAAAAAAAATAAATATATAATTTATATATTTATAATTTATATTTGTATATGTTTATTTAAACCTTGTCCAGCAGAAAAGTAATTGATTAAATGTGACATTTGCACAGACTAAGAGGTGAAAGTGACATTTTCAGTTTGTGGAGTTCCAAAGGTTGTTGACAAATCTCCTGATTGTGGATTTTTTATGCCTCAACATCCAATCATCCTGGTCTGCTTTTCCATTTCTAGTTGTTATAACATCCCAGCGTGGTGGACATCAATTCACTTTAAGACCTACATATTTTGGTGAGATTCGCACACGATCTATAAAACAGAATGTATTTTAGCTGAGAGTTGTACTGGTATAGTTATATTTGTGGAAAAGTACTACAGTTCTGGGGACACTTTGCCCATGTGAGGACATTTTGCAGGTCCCCACTGACAGAGAGGGTATTTTGAGGTTCAAGAATTAGTTTGGAGTTAGGATTAAAAGGATTAAGGATTAAGATTAAGCACATATTTGTCATAGTAAGGGTCTAGGGAATGCATCATCTACAGTACAGTGGAGTGCCCATAGTAAGAGTCTAAGGGTCTGCATCATCTACAGTACAGTGGAGTGCCCACAAAACACGTGTGGAAGAGAGAAATGAATAAATTATGGTTACGAGTTCTGGCCTAATCTGTACATCGTTAACTTGACAACACTTCAAACTGAAATACTGTGCTGATTGTATTTAAAAAAAAAAACAAACAGAAAGAAAAGACAAGTATGAAGGCATGTGAAATAAAACACCGACACCAGTGCTCGCCCCAGGTCGTTAATATTTAATGAATGAATCTCCGAAAAACCACTGCAGCAATAATCTGAAGGGTTTGAGCCCTCCAGCTAAAAAGGCCATGTACAATACAAGATCCGATGGAAAATACAGGTTTTATCTGAGCTGTCCGACGTCTGCCACGTTAATATGTCACTCAGGACCCCTGAGTGACTTCTCCACCACTCACCTCCTGTGTCAAGTCTCCTGCAAAGCAACAAAAACCAGCCAATAACAAAATCTCCTTGTTCAGTCAACAAATTGATGCAGGGTCAGCTGGAAGACAAACAATAAATCTGTGTGGATGCTAATAACACTTTGATGGGGAAACTTAATGCCCGGGTCATCAAGGCAGAGTGGAACAATTAAAAAAAAAAGAAAAAAGAATCGTTTGGGTCTTTAGCTCCGATGACAGCCCTTGGGTCGACAAAAGTCTAAGGACACGGACATCAAACGTTCAACCATGTCATACTGTACATTCACTTAAAGGTCCAGTGTGTAAGAATGTCCAGGCCATTTCAGTACTTTTCTTTGGTCCGGAGGACATTGAACAAGATCCACACGTCACCTACAAATCCAGTCATATTTAGTCCAGTTTGAGGAAATCAGAATGCCAATCACATTGAAGTGATACCTACTGCAGGGTCGTGAACTATTTAGCGTGAGCTGCTGGATATGCAACGTCTGATTATGACTACATCATATGTTTCAACAACAATGCAATACATTTTCCACGTCACAATAAATTAATACTTTGCTTAATGAACAGCAAAGTAACAGAACAGTGAGTGTGTCAGACCTGCCTGCTTGTACAGATTTGTATCTTGGGCTTTTACTGAGGCTTTTCTGTGGTACAAAAATAAAAGGTTTCTTTCTGTACTTCTGCGTAACCTGTAGCATTACTGCAGTAGTGGTAGTACAGCACTACCATGGTCATTAAAATGTTTTTGTGGTGGCTTATGGACTGTTAAAAATTGCTCTTTTGGTGCTGATGGTTGCAGAGCCCTGTCATTGGCTCCTGAATTGTGACTCATCTTAATGTTTACTGCTGTTTATTTTTAAGGGGTTTTCTGTCCATTCCAGCTGCTGAGGAAGCTGCTGGTGTAGCCCTCTGTTAACCAAACAAACACTGTTGTAACACAATGATACAGCTACAAAAACAAACTTGTGGGTTTGAGTTTCAGTTTCTGACCAAAAAGTTGGTGCAACCTACACACTGGACCTTGAACATTTAATGCATAATCCACAGTAAACATCACCGGCACATTTTCACTGATAAGGTTTAAGGTGGAATAAAGTCAATTAGATGTGAATGAACGAGAAAATACTTCACTGTTATCACTCTGTCAACATACTGCTACGCGAAAGCAAAGATGTGAACACCGTGATGAGTTAGGATGTTGGGCCTCTGGTCAGGTGACGCGTGATGTCAGCATAATCCCTCCCTAGTGCTGCTGAAGGAAACCTCTCAGCTGCAGCACGTTTGATTATTATTTGTATTAACATCACCGAGGCAGAGGAGCAATAAAAAAATTAAAAGTAATAAATAAAAGAAACAAAGCAACTGAGACCCAGTTCTTGGTGTGGTTCTCCACGGATGATCCAGATTCTGAATTGTCAAACGGTTCCATTGACTGTGAAGCCTCACAGGTTTCATCTGTTTCATCTGTCGTTCCCAACAGTTTGTACCACTGTGTACCATGTGTCATGTTCACGTCCATCTACTTCAACATGTTTTTACAACTTTAACGTGATTGGCTATTAGATGCTTCCTGCAACGACACTTTCAAATTCAGATTTTTCTGTTTTGGTTCCGAGTGTGAACTGAAATGTTGCTCTCTGTGTCGCAGCAGAAGATCAGGAGAAACGTCTTTTTTTGTTTTGTTGTTACGTCGTGCTGCTTTGCTCAGATCAGTGTTGTTCCGGGAGAACATCAAACAAAAGGGAGGAAAGGTTTTAAAACTGACAAGTTGGAATCATATCAATAAATAAGAAAAGATTTGAAGGAAATACCAACATCTTGAGGGTTTCTGGACTCCTGATGATGAATCCCATTGGCTGAATTTGAACCATGCACCTGAAAAACAGCGATGACATCAGTGTTGCTACGCAACAGTGAAGGAAAAGCCAATACACCGGGAAATAAATGCAGCCTTAAGTCTGAACAGAATAAATTATACTGGGGTGGTTAAAACAAGTTCCTGGGAAATATGAAGATATGAATAATGAATATGCGATAAAAACTTGATGAACTTAATTCTATTTGTTTTATGTGAACTAAATGTAACACACTCCAAATTGTTGTAACAGAGGCTGTAAAAGTTCAGAAAAGTTAACACTGACTCTATAGTTTTTGTTTTCGTTTTTTTGTTTCCTACTGATTTTTCAGAACTTACCGGGCTTTTGTCCGGACGCTTGCGCATGGCCTGGACCAGCTGGTCCACCTGCTGGTTGTGTTCCAGCGCGTTCCTCAGGGCATCCTCGGTGCTGTGCAGCCGCTGGCGCAGACGGCTCACCTCGGACTCCTGTGCCGAGGGTTCCAGCATGGAGTAACGTCGATGGTCAGGCGAGGAATGTTCCTGACCCTGAGGCACAGATTCACAACACATGAAACATGGAGGTATAACAAAAAAAAGTACTGATCAATTATTAACCTCATGTTCCGATATATTACATATATTTATATATTTTAAATATATATATAATTAAAAATATAAAATATTTAAATATATTTTACATATATATACATGTATGAGGTACATTAGTGTAAAATACGTTACGTCAGTCAGAGCCTTTCTACCTCCTGAATATTAAGTCACTTGTGTTTACAGCCCATATTAACGCCTTACTTCCTTTATTAAAGCTGTGTTGCGGACCTTAAACCGTACCCTTGTCTATTTATGTGTATATAGCAACCAATTAACAGCCCGTTTATTGAATGACATAAATACATACCTTAATGGAACATTAATGGTAGAATAAAAGTTAGCTGCGTGATTAAGTTTTAATGTCGTCTGCAGCTCTGCGGCTCCACTGTTATAATAATTAAAAAAAAAAAAAAAAACAACCCAAGGGTGAACGGTTTATACAGGTTTTTGCTCTTTACCAGTAGGAGGAGTTTTTCCCGCAGCGTTTTGATGTCGTCCTGGAGTTTCTGCTCTTTGACCTTCCACTCGGCCTTGTGGATTTCCCTGTTCAGGTCCTTCTCCATGTCCCGGGAATGTCGGTGTGAATCAAGGAGCAAAACCCTCAGTTCATTCAGGCTCCTAAGAAATCATTGGACCAACATGTAATATGAATTGATGAATTAATTTAAATGCACAGAAATCTAGATATTTTTGTAAAAAAAAACAAAAGCTACAAATAAGTAGCTATAAGTTAGCTCCTAATAGATTACTGTATAATATATAAGTATAAATTAGGCAAAACCTGTCTGTTCTACTTTCCTGCTTCATTTTATATATAACAAAATGAAACCATATCGTACCTTTCTTTCTTCAGCAGCTCCTGGCTGATGCTCACCAGCTGACCAGAGGCATCATGGGACTTCTTGGTCATGGTCTCCAGCTCTGCCTCCACCCGTTTTTTGTCCTTGTACAGAGCTTCGGCTTTTTTCTCCCCGGCTCTGACTTTACACTCCATAGCTGAAAAAAAGAATGTGTGTTTGTAATGTCCTAAAGGTCAAAAGTACAGGTCACGTCTGATTCTGTCCCAACCCAAATTTAGCCTAAATCAAGTGGTTCTTTTCTCATGTCCTTAAAATAGTCTGAAAAAGCCACTGTTTTCTAACTGACCTGTGATCTGTGATTTGAGAGCCTCCACCTGTGAGGTGAGAGTAGAGACTTCTTTTTCTCTTTTCAACAACTTTTCAGTCGTTTCTGAAAGAAAAAAAACACAAGAACATTCAGTTCTGACACATCATGTCTCAAATGCAGTACGGTCCTCCGAACCAGGAGGAAATGTGTCATAAACGATTCAAATCAAATTAATTCAGACTTTGGTTGAAATCCGTGTACACAGACAGTGATACCTTCAATGTTCTGCTTCAGCTTCATCTTCTCGTCTGAAATCTCATTTTCTTCTATCACCTGAAACCAGAGAGAAGCAGATAATAAAACAAATTGTCAGGAGTAACCACAGCCACCGGACACCGCTGCAGGTGTCAGATGTTCAGCCTCGTTACTCTTCATCTTCTCACATTTGCATCGTGGGTGGTGTAGCGGTCGGCCTGGATGGCCTGCAGCTGGTTGGTCGTCACCCTCAGCTTTTCTTCGAGCTTCTGGATCTCCTCCCTGCTTTCCTCCTGGGCGTTCTGCAGGGCCTGGTAATCTGTCATCTTCTTCTCCGACAGCTCCAGCCTCTCCCTCAGCTCCTGTCGCTGCCTCTCCATTTCCTCCAGCCTCTGCTCAGCCTTCTGGAGCTTCCCCGTTGCCTCCTCCAACACCTGACCACCAAAGATGTCACCACATTTTTTGGCCTCCATCTCAGCCTTCAACACCTGGTTTCCCTCAGCAGCCAGCTGGTCTTTGGCTTCCTGGAGGCGGGTACACAGGTCTTCGTGCTCCTTGGTCAGGATGGCGGCTTCGATCTTGTGTTTGGCCTTAAGGTTCTCCATTTCCAGTTGGTGCTCCATCTTCAGGCTCTCCAGAGCAGCTCTTAGTTCCTGGGTGTCCTGCTCTTGGCCTTCAGCTGCAGAGTGGTCACCTGTCCACGAGGCTTTCAGTCCCTCCAGGGATCGTTGGTGGTCAGTGACTAAAGTGTCAAATTTAGCCTGGAGAAGAAACAAGAAGGAATGGTAGTCAGTGAACTAAGACGAAGTCTAAGGTCTAACCCAGACAAAGGAACGACTAAAACCAGAAGATTGTAGATACAGTCAAACTCCAGAGGTGAGAGAAGGTCTGGAGGTAGATCCAGTTTTCTAAAGTTACCCTCAAACTCCCAGCACTTGGTTTTAGTCTTTTTGAAAATATTTTTTTCTCACAGAATAGTTTGACAGACGTCTGTCTGAGTCTACAAACTACATTTTATGCTGAACAACATCTTGCCCAAAGCTGTAGGCTTCAGCCGCCTGCTGTTTCTGAAGTTCATTAGCGTACCTTCCAGGTGTCCATCATCTCCATGTTTTCTTTGTTAGCCTGCTGGACCTTCTGCTTCAGCTCACTGATCTCCTGGGTTTGTTTCTCTGCCGTTGCCTTCAGGGACTCGATCTCCTGCTGGCTGCCCGCTAACGCCGTCTCGTACCTCTCCTTCAGCTCGCTGCACTCCTTGAAGTGCTGCTCTCGCAGCGGCAGGGTCTCCGTCTGGAGGTCCTCAGACCCAAGGGCGGTGACGACATTCGCGCAAACATCACCGGGCTGCTGTGAACTGGTGTCAGACCCTGTTAGCTGAGCCCGGAGGTTCTTGATCTCCGCTCTCCTGGTGGCCAGCTCCTCCTCCAGCTGCATGATGCGGCTCTGCTCCTCGACCGTGGTTTGCTGGTGACGACACAGAACAACAACATGAGTGACTGGTGTTGAATGAAACAGTTCATGTTCATACTGAGCTACAGAAAACCTCAGCGTTTCAGTGCACATTTGCCACAACAGAGCAAAAAATCATTCCAAAGAAAAACACAAAAATAAAAATCAGGCATAGAGATAAAAATCAGGAAACTAAAGGCAGAGAAAACCCCTGAAGAAACCGGAGAACATTCCACTGAAAAAAGGAAAAACAATAAAACAACATCAGTTCGTGGACAGAAACACTTTGTATCACAGTTTGGCTCCAACCTGAACTCAGACCCAGTTCTATCCTGTTATTCTTTCACTGCAATAACAAAGTTCCAGGTACTAATTTACATCGTGTTTTTAATGAAGGAGTGAGTCCCAGGAATAAGGTCCAATTCCAAAATCTCTCAGTAACCTGTACAGAGGAACAGCTGCTAGAGGAAATCGGCGCTTTTGGTGAGAACATGATTTGGCGCCCCCTATCGACGCTATTGTAACTGTTTTCTTTCCTAAAACATTACTGCAGATGGAGCCCAAAGTGACACCAAGCTACAATTACCAGTAGAGAGCGCTAAACAAACCCCAACGATTGATCGGTAAATTAATCATTTTTAAAAATCGACATTTGAAATATATGCAGTGCAGTAAAGTAAACTAAGGTACTAGCTGTTTTTGGTTTTTGCACCAAATATGTCATTTTAAGTCAGTGAGAATCAGGAAAAAGCCAAAATAACAATGTGCCTCTGTCCCAGTGTTGTACAGCAGAGATGGAGGAAGACAACACAAGAGCACAGCCCAAAACAGTATCTGATCATTTATGAGCAGCCAGGCAGGTATCACCAAGCTAACAGCCAACCTGCAAACACACACACACACACACACACACACCCTTAAATCTAATCATCATTCATTTGAAAAAAGACCAGAGGTAAAGTAAAGGGTCAGGAGTGAATGTATGATGTAGTGACACCTAAGCCAGTGTTAATGCTACAAACATGGCTGCCAGCAGGGGCAGTGTGACAGTATGTTTCCTAAGTCAACAGTGATGTTTGTTGGATGCCACATGTGTCTGGACCAAACTCCACACAGAACATCATCTATTTTAAATCCCAGGAACAGCAGACAGACTGTTGACTCGTTCAGTCAGAGTGCGTCAGAGCGGTGAATCTAAATGACAGATTTCAAACACTGACCTTATATAATAACACAGTGGAACCCTAATGGCTGAACAACAAGGGATGAAAGACTGCAGTGCTGTGAGGACATACTGCTAATTCTGACTGTGGGCTTTGGTCTGGAAGGAAATCTTAGAAGCAGACTGACTTCTGGTATCTCCAGACCAAAGTCACTTCCCTCAGGAGTGTATTAATCCACTGTTGTCTCCTTCAGTGTATTGTGCTACATTGTCAAATTGACATGTGGAATATTGAGTTTAAATTCATCCCAGTGAAACAACAAACCTAATAAAACAGACGGTCGTAGACATGCCCATCCTGTATCCATGGAGGCTAAAATCCCCAAATTCTCTATGAGGTTTGGTGCAGAGACTGAGTTATATATACAGATATATATATAGTGGGTATAATCTGAGATTTTACAGTGATGTCCTGCACCGACAATGTGTCACCACCTCATACACACACACAATTAAACTCTCCTTTTAAAGAGGAGAAGGACTTGCTGCACAGCGCACACATGTGAATTCCAACCATCAGGAGGGAAGAACCTGCTGGTCGGATTCATATCAAGGCAGTTGGTCTACACAGAGTTCAGATTCCAGCACAGGAAGTAAAAAAGAGTCAAAAACAAAGGGTTAATGTCCCTGAGAACAGACCTAACTATTTGAAGAGAAGTGAAGAAATGAGAGAGATCAGCCCAGATTAGCAGCGGATCAAAACCAGAAAATCAAATCTGTTTTTTCACCTTGGTTCTCTTACCCAACCTCAAGGACACTGCACCACCAGAGCATCTCCCCTGTGGGCAGAAGCACACCTTACTGGAGACAGGAATCTGACAGTGAACATCTCTAAAATATTTGGATCTAGAACATTTTAGTCATCTACTAAAACTATGTTTTAAGCATCGTTGGCTTGATATTCATCACTTCCTCTATGCACAAAACTCCATACAAAATTTCAGCAATTTTAGCTCACACAGACCCACAAGCCACAGTCCAGTCTTGTCTTGTTTGGTGGGTGTAAGTCACTAAGATGAAGCAGAATGGAGACTGTATATGAGCTGAACTAACAATATAAAACATTTAAAGGTACTGATGAAGGCAGTCTTGGATCAACAACCTCCATGGGCCGTCAGGTTAAAATGATTGATTTTGTCTATGGACTTTGGTGCACGAGTGTGACAGCGTTTCAAAGGCTCAGGGCAGTTATAAACTTCTGATGGTGACATCATGTTAATATCTTTGAACAGTACAAAATAAACCTTATATAATAAAGCGCAATTATGGATTCCTTTCCCCCTATGTCTTAAATGTGTCCAGTTCTGGTTGGTAAATAGTTTTCTCTTATACCGTAGCACTTTTAAAAGTTAGACACTCCACTCTGATGGCAGCTGGCAACAGATCCAAAAGATAAATATAGAAATAAAAACTTTAACAAGACAAAAAATCTCAGCACCTGCAACAGAAAATGTAAAAAAATAAAAAAGAAGCAGAAGCAGCAGAAAACACAACTGGTTTGGTGTGGAGGTGAGAAGAAGGACATTTGTGATGTTTTTATGAAATGTTTTCATGTGATTCCACTAAAATATGTATAAATTAGTGTCTTGTTGAAAGTAAAATAAATACTTTAAAGGATTTAATTGGACAATTAAATAATTAACGGTGGATTTCCCTTTAAATACATTTCAATTTCATATCAAAACACAAAGTAGAGCTAAAGACACATTCTAATTTTCCTGGCTGTGTCTGTATGCTGTGTGAGGGTCAACCTGTGGGGTTCGTGAGCTTTTGCAGCCGTGAACACAGAAGCAGACAGGTGCAGAAGCACAAACCACGGACAAGCTGCTACAGGCAAACCGCTCGTGCTTTACATTTTTTCATTTTTTTTTTATGTCTTATCTTTTTACCCTCCTCCTCTCTAAGTCTCGCTGCAGCGCCACCACCCTCGACTTTTCGAGGAGCAGACTCTGCTCGAGCTGACGAATGAGGGCGTGTTCCATTTTGGTCTGAGTCTACGGACAAAAGAAGGAAACAAAAACAGGGAAAAGAGATCCAGGGAGAAAAGGGCAAGGAGAAGAAAACACAGAGACTCAGACCACGAGGATCAGAGGAGGCATAGGAAAGGTCAGAACAGCTGTGGTCACATGATCAAAGTGTGGCTTCGTGGAACAGAAGAAAAGTTCAGATCACATGATAGAAAGAGTCAAAGATAGAGGCTGATGATTTGATCCACTGAAGTGGAAGGAATGTCATTTTCTTCCTGTTAGTTCTTATTTTAAGTAATAGTTGATCTGTGATACCTCCAGATCGCCTTTAGTGATGGATTCCTCCTCCACCCTGAACTGCAGATCCTCCACTTTCCTGTGGACAACATCACATGTCAGAATTTATTTTATACATAAACAAAGGAAAATCTAAAGTCTTGAGTCTTAATTTGACCAAATATCTAAAATCTCATGTGGTGTTTTTTCAGGAACAGCATCAGGGACAGTTAGCTCACCTCTTCTCTTCTTCCAGCTGATTGGCCAGCTCCAGTTTGTCTTTCTGTGTACTGGCCAACATGGTTTTGACTTGTTGGAGAGTGTTTTCATTCTCAGTGACATACTGCAGGGAGCAGAGAAAACAAGCAGAAAAAAGTTTAAACACATCCACTTTTTATAACCTGAGAAAACAAGGAGAAAAACATTTAAAAACATCCACTTTTTATAACCTGCTTCGTGAACCTGTGTTTAAAATCCTGTCCTCAGATGTACCTCAGTGACATAAAATGACCACAGGAGGCAGCAGTTGGCCACCAAAACCTGTGTCTCTTTGAGCTTCACGTATTTTCTCTTTGGACTGGAATTGGAATTAGCAGTTTTGGAAACTTAAAAAAAAAACAGACATAGACTTGTGCAGAGTTTGCACAACAGAACCAAGTCTGTCTCTTAATTAATGACCAGGGCAGCATTGCTGGTTCTCTGCACACAGCAGCCAGCAGGAGGGGGTACACACCTGGGCCAGATGTCTATTTTTTGTTTTCTGTCTTATAAAATATTAAATATTTTCCTACCTGTACGTGCTGGGCCTTCAGGACAGTCAGCTCCTTCTCCACCTCACAGATGTGGCTGTTAGCCTTGGCCACCTCAGCTCTCTCCAGGTCTCTCTCCGCCAGCAGTTGCTCAATGTGCTGCTGCTTCTCCTTCAGCGCCTCCTGCAGGGCTGTGGTGCCGGAGATCTTCCTGGCATAGCGTGACGACGTCTCTGTCAACTTTAGAAAGAGAAAAAGAAAAAGAAAAGGTAGGACATTTTGACCCTGTCTGATGATGATTAACTAATTCTTCCATGAGTCTAATTTCACCTAAATCATTACAGATGGTGATTAACTAATTCTTCCATCAGTGAGTCTAATTTCACCTAAATCATTACACATCAATATTTGTCAATTTATCATTTATCACCTTTTCTACAAAACATGCTGTGACTGGTTTCTAATGATGAAAAAAATGAATGAAATGAACCAAATCCTGTAAAAACCATGTGTGACCATGCAAGAATATAAAACTGCAATATCTTTTTTGACCGCTAGATGGTAGTCTTATAAAAGAATTCCCGTCTGAATTTTAAAGTTTAAATCATGAACATAATAATCCATCATTATATATTTTGTTTTAATATATTTCCAGCAATTTTAATGCCTTTATGTTTATGTGTGACTCTTTTTGTTGAACATTTATATCATTATTTTATTCCATTTTTCCACTTTTTACTTTACCTTGCAGTAATCTAAAAATGAAACTGAGTTACTTACCTTCAAAATGAGTCATTTAAAAAAAGAAAATGTAATTTCTGCTTTCTTGCAGAGCGTCAGAGGAGAGAACATGAAAACCACTGTCAGGTCTGTACCATTAATCGTTTCTTTCTGTTTTTTCTGAACTACGGTAAATATAGTTTGACAGCTGCCAGTTTGACCAACCGTATATTTACAAATGTCACATCCTCAGGTGGATTAAAACCTCGTGTACAAACGTGACAGTGAGGTGGATGTTTTTGTGTTGACAAACTCTGCACGAAAGCATCAGTTTGAGCTCATGAGCACAAACTGGTGGAGGAAGCAGGAAGCAGCCATCTTACCAGTCCAGCTCGGCTCGGTCGTCCACCCACCGAGGAGGCCACCGAGCTGACTGAACTGATGGAGGAGCTGCTGGGGCTGTGGGCCAAGGACGAGACCCCCATGGCCATGCGTTTGCTCTTCTTGGCCTTGGCAGGGCTGGTGGAGGGGAAACCGATGCGGATCACTTTGTGAATCGGTGCGAAGAGGCCGAATTTGTGGAGACACTGGAAGTATCTGAGGAGGAGGATGGAGAGGATGAAGATCGTTTTATAAACAAACTGACAAAGTCTGCGTCTATAATTGTGGAGGAAAAGGTTGAAAA